TGCTGCAACGCCTCTCTCTCTCGCTCACCCCCCCCGCACCTCCGATTAGCACGGTTAGCTACGTACGGTGCAACAGAAGTTCAACATACATACATGACGTCCTTCATAGGTGCTCGCCAACAGCACTTCCCCCAGTCTGGTAAAGGTGATCGGGGTTTACAACGGAGATCTCTATCTGTGTTTGTGTATGATCAGCTATGCGCACGTGTCTATAAATATACAATAAGACCGCGCACGCGCACGCGTGTATATTAATAAACGCCACGTGTGTGTGTCCGAGCGGTGGCGCAGTGGTTGGCGCACTGCACGACGAAGCCCGTGACCCGAGTTCGATTCTCGCTCACGGCCAACACCGCTGACCGACATCTCATCCCGTAGCTCGTGCGGCGGCGTGTAACAGCAGCACTGGGGAGACAAAGGTGGCGGGGAGTGGATGTGGCCACACAATCCGTGCGCTGCGCTGGCCTTCGCGAGTGCTCGCTCACAGCCCCTGTCCCAGACAGTCTGGAAGATATATAACCGGGGGCTTTCTGTCTTTGCATTACCAAGACGTCAATTTAAATCTATTTTGCGTCTGCAAAGCGTTAATTCTCACAGCGGCGGGCTAATGCTGCCACAAGCATCATCGTCTCAGTGTGAGCCCGTAATTGTGCTGAGTGACCGGCATGACCACAGTTCATTCATCATCATCGTTGTTGTTGTTCTTGCTGCTTGCTGCTGTGTTACCATTGTAAGGATAGACGTCTCCTAACAGAAACACACACCCGACTCTTTCAGCACGTGGCTATTGCGCTCAGCATAGAGCCATTGGCTCTGAAGAAGGACCAGGGCCCGAAACGTTGGCCCGAGTTTATGTTCATGGGCAGCAAGGTGCTCTCGAAAAGCACTTGACCCAACACGGGGGATCGTCGTCTTGTATAGCCACGGACTTCACTTCACACGCGATGATTTCCGAGCCGCTGGTAAACCCCAAGTCGTGGGGTCGCGCCAACCCCGCCCCAGCCAGAGCGAGGGGTGTCCTGGACGTGGTGTGCCGGGGGCACAGACCTCGTCTGATGGAATGAGGCCCTGGTTCAAGGCGAGTGTTCATGGGGACACTGCGGCACGGCACATTGCCGCACGCCAGGATATTGCACACAGTCGAGTGCAATGGCACCAAGTACTGCGACTGCACGTGCTGCACTCGGGGACTCTGCACTGGGCTGCACTAGCGTGGTCTGCACCAAAATGCACGAGTGTAGTAAGCACACACACAGGCACACACTCACACAGACACACAGGCACACACTCACACAGACACACACTCACACAGACACACAGACACACACTCACACAGACACACACTCACACACACTCACACAGACACACAGACACACACTCACACAGACACACACAGACACACACTCACACAGACACACAGACACACACTCACACAGACACACAAACACAGTAAACACACACACACTGATACACACTGACACACACAGACAAGGTAACACACTGACACACCCACACTGACACACAAACACAGACACACTGACACACAAACACACAGACACACAAACACACAGACATACAAACACACTGACACACAGACACACATTTACACACACTGACACACACTTACACACACTGACACAAACTGACACAAACCGACACACACACCGACACACACACACCGACACAGAGAGTCGCCCAGGGGGCCCAGCAAGCCCGCTCTGGAGTGGAGGGAACACAGCGGGCCCCAGGGCTTGCGTCAGGCCCCGCGTTACATAAGCGGCTTGTGATCAATAGCCCCTCCCCTCGCCCACCCCCCCCTCGCCCCTCCCCTCGCCCACCCCCCTCGCCCACCCCCTCCCCTCGCCCCCTCCCCTCGCACCCCCCTCGCCCACCCCCACGCGCACGTGACGTGCAGCAGCACAGCGGGGCGCGTGTCCTTGCGGGCGGGGGGGGGACTGTGTGTCAGTGTGTGTGTCGGTGTGTGTCAGTGTGTATGTGTGTCAGTGTGTGTGTGTCAGTGTGTGTCAGTGTGTGTGTGTCGGTGTGTGTGTCGGTGTGTGTCAGTGTGTGTGTGTCGGTGTGTGTGTGCGTGTCAGTGTGTGTGTGCGTGTCAGTGTGTGTGTTTGTGTCAGTGTGTGTTTGTGTCAGTGTGTGTGTGTCAGTGTGTGTTTGTGTCAGTGTGTGTGTGTCAGTGTGTATGTGTCAGTGTATGTGTGTTTACTGTGTCAGTGTGTGTTTGTTTACTGTGTCAGTGTGTGTGACTGTGTGTGTGTCAGTATGTGTGTCAGTATGTGTGTGTGACGATGTGTGTGACAGTGTGTGACAGTGTGACGATGTGTGTGACAGTGTGTGACAGTGTGACGATGTGTGTGACAGTGTGTGACAGTGTGACGATGTGTGTGACAGTGTGTGACAGTGTGACGATGTGTGTGACAGTGTGTGACAGTGTGACGATGTGTGTGACAGTGTGTGACAGTGTGACGATGTGTGTGACAGTGTGTGACAGTGTGACGATGTGTGTGACAGTGTGTGACAGTGTGACGATGTGTGTGACAGTGTGTGACAGTGTGACGATGTGTGTGACAGTGTGTGACAGTGTGACGATGTGTGTGACAGTGTGTGACAGTGTGACGATGTGTGTGACAGTGTGTGACAGTGTGACGATGTGTGTGACAGTGTGTGACAGTGTGACGATGTGTGTGACAGTGTGTGACAGTGTGACGATGTGTGTGACAGTGTGTGACAGTGTGACGATGTGTGTGACAGTGTGTGACAGTGTGTGACAGTGTGACGATGTGTGTGACAGTGTGTGACAGTGTGTGAGTGTGTGACGATGTGTGAGCGAGTGAGAGAGTGCGCGCGCAGTGTCAGTGTGCTGACGACCCTCCCGTCTCCCCCCCCCCCCCCCCGCGTGTGTGTGTCAGTATGTGTGTGTGTGTAAATGAGCACCTGGTGCAAGCATCGCTAGTGGGAGACAAAGACGGCCGGGCGTGGTGCAGGCCACACCACCCCTCCGTAGCGCCGTGCCAACCTTAGAGGCGATCTCTCTCACAGCCCCAAGCGCCCACGCCGCCACTGCTGCTGCTGGTCTCCCCACGTGTGCAGCAGCAGCAGCAGCGGGCAGCAGCTTCTCTGAACTGTTCAACTCTCGCTGTCTACGCAATAGTTTGTCTGATGCTACAATACACTACTACCCTGCAGCAGTCGTCTGTGCTGCAGCAGTCGTCTGTGCTGCAGCAGTCGTCTGTGCTGCAGCAGTCGTCTGTGCTGCAGCAGTCGTCTGTGCTGCAGCAGCAGTGTGCAGCAGCAGTCGTCTGTGCTGTAGCAGTCGTCTGTGCTGCAGCAGTCGTCTGTGCTGCAGAAGCAGTGTGCAGCAGCAGTCGTCTGTGCTGCAGCAGTCGTCTGTGCTGCAGCAGTCGTCTGTGCTGCAGCAGTCGTCTGTGCTGCAGCAGTCGTCTGTGCTGCAGCAGTCGTCTGTGCTGCAGCAGTCAGTACCCACTCACAGCTCGCAGTGCCGCACTTCATCAGGCTGACGATCATCCACCACCACCGACAGCCCTCACACCATTGATGCTCCTACTGCTGCAAAGGCTGTCGCTACTGTTACTGCTGCTGCTGCTACTGCTGGTACTGCTGCTGGTGCTGCTATTGATCCTCCTGCCGCTGTGGAGATTGCTTCTGCACACACCACCAATACTGCTGCTATTGTTACTGCAACTACTGCGGCTCACCCGAATTATATTGCCGCTGCATATACAGAACTGTACTTCCGCCGATACCACTGCCGATACCACTGCTGCTGCTGCTACTGCTGCTGTGCGTACGAGCTGCTGTGCCGATATGGGCACGATGCTGCTGGTGGCGATGATGATAATGTCGCTTCATTAATTAATGCGGCAGCGGTAATGGGGATGGTGGCGCAACGGAGACACGCGTGGAGTGCACACGCGCATGGCGGGGGGCGGTCCGCACTGGTGCACCACACAGCCACTGCTTCTATTGCACAGGACACTCACACACACACAGATATACACACACACAGACACACAGACACTGCTTCTATTGCACAGGACATTCACACACACACAGACACACAGACACTGCTTCTATTGCACAGGACACTCACACACACACAGATATACACACACTGATATACACACACACAGACACACAGACACTGCTTCTATTGCACAGGGCACTCACACACACACTGCTTCTATTGCACAGGACACACAGACACTCACACACACACAGACACACCAGACACTGCTTCTATTGCACATGTGCCGACCCCCCGGTTGTGCTGCAAGTGCCGCCACCATGAACACGTGCGCACACAGACACACACAGACACACACACTGACAAACTGACACACACTGACACTGACACACAGACACACACACAGACACACACACTGACACACACACACTGACACACACACACTGACACACACACAGGGGTGAACCACGTGCTGCACCGCTGTGCTGTGTCCACGCACGCACGTGACCCCGTGCATCTCACACACACACACTGACACACACACACACTGACACACACACACACTGACACACACACACACTGACACACACACCGACACACACACAGACGCAAGGCTCCGCGTCACCCATGACACGAGGCTGTGCGGACAACACACACAACCCACGTTGCACAACATCCACATGCACGTGTTACACACACACACTGCGCTGTGTCGCACACAGGCACGCACGTGTACACGTGTTACACACATACACTGCGCCGTGTAGCACACAGGCACGCACGTGTACACGTGTTACACACACACACTGCGCCGTGTCGCACACAGGCACGCACGTGTTACACACACACACTGCGCCGTGTCGCACACAGGCACGCGCGTGTTACACACACCCCCCAATACACAACCCTGTGTAGTGCACCACGTAAACACGTGGCGCACTACGCACGCACGCACGCAACTCCGCACAGCAGCAGCAGGATCGTCAAGTGCACTACTCACGCTTCCGGGAGGTGGAAGACGAGAGGTGGTGGTGGTGGTGACGACCAGAACGAGGTTGGCGATCGGGAGACGAGGCGGCGACTACAGTGCAGTCCCCACGCCTGCGCCTCTTGTCTCGGGGGTCCGGGCTGCGGCCAAGGGGACCAGGAGAAGCGACCCCGTCTTCCCTATGCGACTCCCTCCTCCTCCTCCTCGTCTCCCTCCGTGTTTGCCTCTCCCCGTGGCTCCCTCCTCGTCGACCGCGCTCCACGCGTGGCGGGGATGGAGATGCGAGCGGAGATAATGAATGACTGCAGGCAGTCTGGAGCCTGCTGGAACGAAGCTGCGGCCACGCGGGAAGGGGGGGGGTGTGGAAGGAAGAGGACGCGGCTGTGGGAATGAAACGTGCAGCAGCAGGCAACGCAGCAGGCAACGCAGCAGTCGGCTCCAGCTGCAGATGATGTCTGGGATGTAGCTGGAGATAGAGCCTGGAGTCGCGGCGATTGCCCGAGCCCACGGAGTCGTACAGCCAGGCACGGCGCTAGCAGTAGACAGAACCTGGAGCAGCTGCGGTGGAAGGTGGCGAGAGAGAGAGAGAAGCGCGCCTTGAAGCCTGTGAGCTTCGGTGCTGCGTGGTTAGAGACGCGGCTTTGCCAGGCGCTGGTGCTATGGCTGTGGCTGCGGCTAAAGCTGGAGCCTGGAGCCGTGACTGCGCTGGAGCCTGGAGCCGTGACTGGCGCTGGAGCCCCGATCGGCGAGTGGATTTCTGGAGCTCGGAGCCGGAGCTGGAGCCGCCGACTCCTTCACCTTGGCCGCGCTCAGCTTCATTCGCCCCGCCGCGCGCGCACTGCGCATGCGCACGCACCCGCCCTCACGCCCCCCGCGACACCGAGCCCCGCCCCTCGCCGCCGCGAGCTATATTTCCCAGCGCGGATAAGCAACGCCGATGTATTTGTTAGTCTACATGGGCATCGGAAAGCTGGCGTTGCATTGGCTACCGCGTACACGAACTTGGATTGGATTTCACAGTACCGATAAGCACGGCTAAGTCGGTGATGTTGCATTTCCTAGTGCAGTTTAACATAGCGCGTTGTATTTCCCAACACGGATAAGCAAGTTCCAGTTGGGAAAACGTCGGGTATTAAATTGTCTACAACTATCAAGAGTAAGGTGTTTTATTTCCCACTGCAGATGAGAACACAGAGTCGCGTGTATATCTCCCAATGTGGATAAGCAATGCCTTTATATTTCCAAGCCTGCATAAACATTCCCTTTGTATTTAGTAACGCAGATAAGCATGTTTTTTGCGTTTCTAAGGATTTGGAATGCATTTCCCAACACAGATAAGCGTTGCTATTGTATTTCCCAGCGCGGATACGACCAGTGTTTACAATGTTCGAGCTTTGGCAAAGAAAGCCAATGGGCCGCGGGTATCGCGTGACCATACTTCACCACGCTGGTCAGTGCGGGTTGGAGCAGGCGGGAACGCATGGACGCGACGCGGGAGCATACAAGTGCAGTACAACATCGGACTTTTCCGCACTGCCCTCTGCCGCCCACAGAGCAGCCCTGCACATTCACGTGGTTAGACCAATTAGACGAATTAGCCAGGGTCATCTTAACCCATCACTTGTAATTTAACTAAGCTAGGCAGTTCATCGCCGTTAACTGTATGAGCGCTGTGGTGTCCGCAGATGAAAGTGCAGCAACATCTTTAGTTGAACTGCACCCTGCTTCAATGTCTTCTATGCTCCCCGCTTGCAACGGCCTACGCTGACCTGGAATGGTGAAGTATGGTCAAACAAGCCCAGTGGGGAGGCCTTCCTCATCCAGCAGCGGATAGATCATCGTGTGAAGAAGTCGAAGGGACAACGCTGCGATTCTCTGTCGTATGAACAATCAAGGTGTGGGTGGATGGGTGGCCCTCCAACCCCATTGGAGGCGGAGCCTCACCTGAGTAACCCCTCCACCCTTCCCCTGGTCACTTTGTCCTGCAATCACCAATCACTGAACATCTCAACACAACCATCATCTCTGGCGGCAGCGGCGATAAACATCTGGCAGCTAACCAGCATCGGGTCAAGCAAACCGGACCCTGCTGCTGATGATGATGATGATAATGATGCTGTTGATGCTGCTGATGATGATGCTGCTGCTGATGCTGCTGCTGCTTCTGCTGATGACGATGATTCTGCTGCTGATGATGCTGCTGATGCTGCTGCTGATGATGATGCTGCTGCTGATGATGATGCTGCTGCTGATGATGCTGCTGCTGCTGATTATGATGCTGCTGCTGATGATGCTGCTGCTGATGATGATGCTGCTGCTGATGATGCTGCTGCTGACGATGATGCTGCTGCTGATGATGATGCTGCTGCTGATGATGATGCTGCTGCTGATGATGCTGCTGCTGCCGATGCTGCTGCTGATGATGCTGCTGATGATGCTGATGCTGATGCTGCTGATGACGATGATGCTGCTGAAGATGCTGCTGCTGATGATGGTGATGCTGCTGCTGATGATGATGATGCTGCTGATGATGATGCTGCTGATGATGCTGATGATGATGCTGCTGATGAGACACTGAAAGTCAAAACGGCTCCAGACCTCTCGTAATAAATCGATGCCGCTGATGAGATGCACCCCAGGATTCAGTGTGCGGCTGATAGGACGTGTCCACAGAATGCGTGCTGACTCTGTGAATGTAGAGGGGCAACTATGGGATGGGGTGGGGGGAGGCGTCTGCTGATCTATCTGCTTACGGAGACCCACAGACGCGTTCCCTCTACGAGCACTCGGGCTCGTAAAGCCACAAACGCAGCCACGACTCCACGTGTGCTGCTGCTGCTGCAGCGTCCTTCTCCCCCTGCGCCCTTCAAGGCGGGCAGCAGGAGGGGTCTTCGGGATAGGGGGTCTGGGCTATACCCTAGGGGGTAGGGGGTAGGGACTCCCACGTCGGGACGGTGAACTGGTGCAGGGGCAGGTTGGGACGCAGCCACGGCGATTCGGAAGTTGGGGATGTCCCCACGGGATCATTTCAACCGGAGGATTCCCCTGGGGGTGAGGTGGCTGCTGTTGTTGTTGGAGGGTTATAGGAGTCCCCGCACAATGTTCCGTGAATAAGCCCGAGAGGTGCGTTATTGGCGATGGGGTCGCGGTGGTTCGCGGGCAGATTGCAGATTGGAGCCGGGAAGTTCCCTCCCCGACTTGGTGGCGGATCAAAGGAGGGGAACGACTCTCTGTGTGTGATGGTTCTCTCTCTCTCTGTGTGTGATGGTTCTCTGTGTGTGTGACTGTTCTCTGTGTGTGTGTGTGTGTGATGGTTCTCTCTGTGCGTGTGTGATGGTTCTCTGTGTGTGTGATGGTTCTCTCTCTGTGTATTTGATGGTTCTCTGTGTGTGTGATGGTTCTCTCTCTGTGTATGTGATGGTTCTCTGTGTGTGTGATGGTTCTCTCTCTGTGTGTGTGATGGTTCTCTGTGTGTGTGATGGTTCTCTGTGTGTGTGATGGTTCTGTGTGTGTGTGTGATGGTTCTCTCTCTGTGTGTGTGATGGTTCTCTGTGTGTGTGTGATGGTTCTCTGTGTGTGTGATGGTTCTCTCTCTGTGTGTGTGATGGTTCTCTGTGTGTGTGATGGTTCTCTCTCTGTGTCTGTGATGGTTCTGTGTGTGTGTGTGATGGTTCTCTCTCTGTGTGTGTGATGGTTCTGTGTGTGTGTGTGATGGTTCTCTCTCTGTGTGTGTGATGGCTCTCTCTCTCTCTGTGCGTGTGTGATGGTTTTCTCTCTGTGTGTGATGGTTCTGTGTGTGTGTGTGATGGCTCTCTCTCTCTCTCTGTGCGTGTGTGATGGTTCTCTCTCTGTGTGTGATCGTTTCCTCTCTCTCTCTGTGATCTCCGTGTTGCTGGCTACCGCGAGCATCGATGCCCGCTGATTATGAATCGATGGGCCGGATTTGTGTTTTTCTTTCTGTGTTTGGTTATAGTGCCCTGGAGCTAATGACATGGGTCAGCGCCCGGGCTAATGCCGTGGTTACGCAGAGGCGGTGAATGAGCGAGGAGGCTGAGTGCACAGGTAGACGCAGGGTGGTGGGGATGCTCCACGACCTCCCACTACCACTACCCAATATACAATATAAAGACAAAAGGTCCCCGTGTAGCCTACACAGGGTGTTGGGGCAAAGCGTTGTTAGCTGCTGTGAGAGTAGGTAGGTCAAGGCGCACCTACAAGGGGGGTGGGTGTGTGGTGTGGCCAGAAACACCCCCAGCCGCCTTCGTCTCGCCAGTGCTGATGCTTTTTATACCCACTACAACAGGTACTCAGTTATGAGGCTGAGTCGACCTAGGGGAGGCACCAGGAACGGTTCAGATATCGGTCACCCACACGTGCACACGCGGCAGGCTCGTGAGAGGTGACAACGGATTGTGGTAGTCTTTTATCCAGCGGTGGATTGACCATGGCTGATGAGGACAGCGATGATAGGTGATGGCGGGAGGGAGACAAGAGATGCAGTGAGATGAGAGAAGAGAGAGAAAGATGGAGAGCAGAGAAGATACAAGAGAGGGATGAGAGAGGGATGTTTATTAATGTCGGGATGATATTAAGTTCACGTCTATTTTAAACGAATCTGGGCCCTCTTGAGCTGCCTGGGGTGCGAAACCTTTGCTGAGGTTGCTAATGCCGAGCGCCGCCTCCAGGTTGGGGTTGAGGAAAGATGAGACGTGAAGATAAGACGTGAGACGTGGTGATGAGACGTGGTGATGAGACGTGGTAATGAGACGTGGTGATGAGACCTGGTGGTGAGACGTGGTGATGAGACGTGGTGATGAGACGTGGTGATGAGACGTGAAGATGAGACGTGGTGATGAGACGTGGTGATGAGACGTGAAGATGAGACGTGAGACATGAAGATGAGACGTGGTGATGAGACGTGGTGATGAGACGTGAAGATGAGACGTGAGACGTGAAGATGAGACGTGGTGATGAGACGTGAGACGTGGTGATGAGACGTGAAGATGAGACGTGAAGATGAGACGTGAAGATGAGACGTGGTGATGAGACGTGGTGATGAGACGTGGTGATGAGACGTGGTGATGAGACGCGAAGATGAGACGTGAAGATGAGACGTGGTGATGAGACGTGGTGATGAGACGTGAAGATGAGACGTGGTGATGAGACGTGAAGATGAGACGTGGTGATGAGACGTGAAGATGAGACGTGGTGATGAGACGTGGACATGAGTCGTGGTGATGAGACGTGGATATGAGTCGTGGTGATGAGACGTGGACATGAGTCGTGGTGATGAGACGTGGTGATGAGATGTGGTGATGAGATGTGGTGATGAGACTGAAGATGAGACGTGGTGATGAGACGTGGTGATGAGACGTGGTGATGAGACGTGGTGATGAGACGTGGTGATGAGACGCGAAGATGAGACGTGAAGATGAGACGTGGTGATGAGACGTGGTGATGAGACGTGAAGATGAGACGTGGTGATGAGACGTGGTGATGAGACGTGAAGATGAGACGTGGTGATGAGACGTGGACATGAGTCGTGGTGATGAGACGTGGATATGAGTCGTGGTGATGAGACGTGGACATGAGTCGTGGTGATGAGACGTGGTGATGAGATGTGGTGATGAGATGTGGTGATGAGACGTGAAGATGAGACGTGGACATGAGTCGTGGTGATGAGACGTGGTGATGAGATGTGGTGATGAGATGTGGTGATGATTATTTGAGGGCGAGGTAATCAACGTCGACGAGTCGCATCGCGCCTCCCTCCCTCCCGTGCCGATGCCGTGGTCCTAGTCCAGCTGTGACAGCTCA